GGGGTTTCGGGTTTAGGCGTTAGCGTTTTAGGGGTATAGATGTACGTCAAAGGGTATAGGACCCTTACTGATATGTAGTTCATATGCCATATTTAGGGATTCAAAGTATAACTATACGGCCCTGACTTAAGAGTCCATATACCATATAGGGGTTCAAAGTATAAGGATTTAAAAGGGGCATAGGACCCCTTTCAAAACTTAGGGGCAAGCACCAAGATCCTCGCGAGCTCCCTGTCCTAAGCGAATCTACATCGGGTTTAGAGTGTTGGGGTTTAGGGTTTAGGATTTTGGGGCTTAGGGTTTAGAGTCTTGGGGTTTAGAGTTTAGGGGTTGAGGGTTGAGGGTTTGGGAATGTGAAGCCCTGCAACCTTCGAGAAATGCTGAATAGGGTTTAGGGTGAATCCTCGACTATAACAGACGCCGCTTAGCTTCAGAACTTTGAACTTGGGTTGGGGACCTCTTCGCTGAACCCTAAACCCTAAACCGCTATTAAAACCCGAAACCCTGAACCCCTAAACCCCCAAACCCTAAACCCCTAAACCCCAAACCCCTAGACTTAAACCCTAAAGCCTGAACCCCTATAAACCCTGAACCCCTATAAACCCTAAACCCGAAGGCGGTTTATGAAGTGCCTCTAGTTTAGGGCTGAGGGACCTTCAGTTCCAGTTAGGGGTTATGGGGTTTAGGGGTTCCGGGTTAAGGGTTTAGGGGTTAGGGTCTATAGGGGTAAAGGTTTAGGGTTTAGGAGTTTAGGGTTTAAGGGTTCAGGGCTTAGGAGTTCGGGTTCAGAGGTTCGGGATTCAGGTTTAGAGTTTCAAGGTTTAGGGGTTAGGGGTTTCGGGTTTAGGGTTTAGGGGATAGGGGTTGAGGGGTTTGGGGCTTCAGGGGTTTAGGGTTTAGGAGTTAGGGTTCAGTTAGGGTTTAAGGTTTAGGGTTCAGGGGTTTATAGTTTAGGGGTTTGGGTTTAGGGGTTTAGGGTTTAGGGTTCGGGGATTAGGGGTTCGGGTTTAGGGTGTAGGGGTTGACTCTTCTTGTCGTGTTTGGGGCGTTGGTGTCGAAGCTGAGCTCCGGCAGCCCGACGTCGAATGAGCCCAGAGTAGCAGAGGTCCTGAAAAACTACGAAGTGGTGGTTGTGGTAGTAGTAGTAGTAGTAGTAGTAGTAGTAGTAGTAGTAATAGTAATAGTAATAGTAATAGTAGTAGTAGTAGTAGTAGTAGTAGTAGTAGTGGTGGTAGTAGTAGTTACTTAGTCCGTCTAAGTTTATCATAAGATACCCTGAAACGCAACTCTAATCATTAAGGCGCCTACACCATTCCGTATCCGGGCTGACATAAACCCGGTTAACCCAAGCCCTAAACCACAAAAAACTGAACCCTCGAGGCCGTGCGGACCGAATCACTAACACCCATTACTGGGGTCGGAATAATGACCAATAGGGTTTAGGGTTTAGGGTTTAGGGGGGCTCCTTGCTTCAATCAGACGAACAGATTCAGGCCCCCAATAATTAGTGGCCACTTGCCAGGTCGATGGTGACACCTTCGTGAACCTTTGGGCTTTGAAGTTGCGTTTGCAGCGTTACTTCAACTCGACGCTTGGCTGATGCCGGTGGCAGGTTGAAGCGAGATACTGAGACGATAGTCACCCTAACCCTACTACCCCTAAAGCCCCGAACCGCTGAATCTGAACCCTAGCCGTAGGGACAGGTTGCCGACCATGACGGTGATGGAGCCCGAGCCGATGGTGCTGATGAATGAGGGTTTGGGATTGTGTTGGTAGACAGACTGCTGTAGTCAGCCGAATTTACCCCAAGCCTTCTTGGTTTGATGTTGTGATTCGTTGATGTTTTGTCATAGCAACGCTTTAGTCTTGGTTAAAAGGGATCTAACTTAGGGAACTACCCTTATAGCAACCAGAGGGGCAAGCAGCAGTCGTAGTCGTGGTCGTAGCCGTAGCCGAAGGCGGAGTCGTAGTCGTCTCGGTGGTCGTCGTCGTCGTAGCCGTGGTGGCGTAGTAGTAGAAGTCGTCTTGGTAGTGGTAGTGGTCGTCCTCGTCGTCGTAGTAGTAGT